TTTCAGCTTATCAAAATAAAAAATTATTCAACTTCACAGTGTGTGAAGATGCTACAAACATAGTTTAAAATCTAGACGTCAGCAGGTTAAGGGGTAAATTAAATAAAACAGGTTGAGCTGTAAGGTACTTGAGGTGTTGTTCTGCAGTGGGGTTTCCTTATAGTCAGGAAGGACTACAGTGCAGCGGCAGGCTCTGCTCCCTGTGAGGCTAGACAGCATATGGCACCGTCTCCCAGAGAAAAACACACCACCCAAGCAGCCTGGCAGTCTCAGAGTGAGTGTGTGTGTCTGTGTGTGTCAAAATATGTGTGTGTGGCTGCTTATCATATGTGAATCTTTGCAGGAGACAGAGTAAAAAATGGCTACCATGTTTCTTTCCTCTGAGAAACAACTCGGAGGAAACAGAACAAAGAGGACGCAAGGGAAATGTTTTAGTTTCCATGGTCACATCAGCTAAACAGATGTCGAACATGACAAACCGTCACAAGGCTTTTTCAAACAAAGAACCGTCTCCTGATGTGAACTAAGGGAATCAGTTTTAATTCAAGCTGCATCATGAACATGCTTGTTAAAAGAGACGGGAGATGGAAGAACGAAATCTTTCACTTTACATCTGGACGCACTATCGTGAAACTAAATGCTTGTTTGAATGAGACGCTAGAAGCCTCTCCATGTCCAATGATGCAGCACATTGATGAGGATGCAGGACAGAGTAAGTGAGCTGAGTTAGACTGAGCAGGTCTGATTGTCTATCTGACGGAATAGTTTCCACTTCCATATGTGAGTTAAAAGGGAAAGAAGAGAATCAATAAGGCATTAGTGGAAAGCCATCAAAAAAAGAGCGATCCAAAGCTTATTACAGACAGTAGGTCAGGAAGTTGGCTATCATTTATTTAGGGTGAGTTACCTTAAGACTACAGTTAAATCAACTTTATTCCATCCATTTGACCACACCGTCTGCCTCAGTGATTCAGAGAACGTGTAAATTACAATAGCAAGTTATACAGTGTGAGTGTCCACAAGGAATTTGGATCCAATTTTACACAAATCTACCCAACCAAATAATGCACAGCCATACTTCAAATCCTCTGTCGGAGAGATCTCTCTCAAAGGCCATGATGAGAGGCTCATATAAAGCAGCTCATCAGCAGCCTGCTTGCCCATATGTGCCTCACACCCCGAGGTCCCCAGTGGGCCCTGGCTATGTGCAGTGATATCATCTCATCTGCCAACATGGACCACTTGGAAAAAGCCCCAGTCGGTCTTCTGGTTGGTCTATTCTGCCCTCACTGGCTAGTGTTATGAGCTGCAGAGAGAGTGTAGCCAGTCTAGTGCCCAGACAAGTCAGTCAAAACAAAACAAATAAATGTGCATACTAATAAGAGAGGTTAGCAGATGATTGAGATGCAGAGTCATGACGGCAACCGGAGGCCAAATGAGGGCAAACACAATTTATTCAACAGTAAATACACACTCAATGCATAAACAGGGAAAAATAAATAAAAACTGAAATCCAAAATCTCAAACACAGACTGACATCCTTGGCTCAGAGCAGGAGGAGGAGAGGCAGTTGTAAAAATGGTGCGTTGACAAATCACTACGGTGTGAATCCTCTGGGCCAATATTGATGATGACATATGCTGTGGGAAACAGACAGACAGACAGGGAAGCAGGGTCCAGCGTCATATCTGCAGAGTGTGTCTGCGGGTCCCGCGCGGCGATGGTTCACTTATCCCCCTGCCACCGCACATATGTTTGGGACATGGAACAGTTGGACGTGGCCGAGGGCTAAAATGGGTCAGACCGACACAGATGGAGAAAGAAACTCCCACTGGGTCACTGTCAGATGACTAACACTGGCAGAAGGAAAAAAAGGAGTGATGTGCACGTGTGTGTTTTTATGGGAGTGATGTAGTTGATCATGACAAATTTGAACAGTTTGCCAATTACATTTCTTGAGAAACAAGGACAGAAATAAATACAAGAACTACCACTACAAGTTTTAAATTCAAAACTGGTTTGTGCAGCTCTCAAGTATGAAGAGCAATACAGACATTCAGTCAATCCTGCTTTTTTTTTACCTCTATTCTCTCCATTGCTTCCCTTGACCTTTTACCTCATGTATGATTTTGAGCCAAGAATATTTGATCAATAACTTGAGTCACAGCTCCTTCTGTCAAGTGATAATCTTCAGTGTAATCACAATATAATACACCATTTGGACAGACTGAGAGCTTTTTGTTTAGGGCCTATAATGAGAGGAATTCACTACAAGAGAGATCAGCTGCAGGAGAACACAAACATATTTCGAGACTGATGGAAAGGAATTAGCGAAAGATGCACCTCTGAGATGACGTGGAATCATCCAGACCAGATTTCACAGCATATTCCAAAATCTATCAAATCTATATCTTAGATATAGAAATGACTTACATAAAAAAATGACAAAATCTTTGTGAAACCCACAAAGGTGCTGTTGAAAAGTATCCACCGACATGAGAGGTGATCACACAAAGCTGTCTTATTTCTCAGCAATCCCATTGTGTCAGCTGAGACGTATTCAAAGCGCTTCAGGCAAATGTCCTTGGTTGTCAAAAACCTCTATTAGAAATAGAATGTGAGGCAATAATTGTAGAGTTGAAAGGTCACCCATCCATTTGTTCATTTTATATAAACGAGAGGGGAAATTCCTTTCAGTGTAATCCTTGGCTGCCTTTTGAGAGCAAAGAGATTGACCGATTCAGCACTGAGCTCAATATGTATAGCTTCTCTGAATGTTGTGTTACAGCGTCTTTTGCTGAATGTGCTTTTGTTGATGTGAATTCTTTATTTAAAAAAAAACACTTTGCCAAGAGCTTCCAAGTGCCGATGAGTTGTGTTCCACAGGCCTATTGAGAAGCACTTGCATTTAACATAAAGATACAACAGAAAAATCATCCCTGAGCATCTTTCACCTCGAATGAACCATGTCATCACATAAGAACTAACAAATCCCTTTTGCGCAAACTGGAAGCCATGTTGTCAACCATGCATTAGTATGTGGGTGGCATGTGCTCTGTGAAGCAGTCATATGTTAGCAGTGGATCTCTTGGATGGAAGTCAAGTTTGCAGCTGCAGCCTCGGAATAATTCATTGCTTGCCTTTTTACCCAGGAGGAGCCACAGGTAGTTGATGAAGTGGCAGTGCCAAGACTCCCAACTGGCGAAGACGAAGCGCAGCTGCCAGGAGTCAGTGCAGCCAGATGCCGCTGCTGATGTACCATGTGTTCCAAGCAGGGCAACAGTGTGTTTGTGTGCGAGCTGGGGTGGGAGGGGAGAGAATGGAGCGCTTGCCAAGACATTCGCACATTGATGCCAACCTGACACATGCTTGGGCACTCCCCATGGTTTGTGTTACCATCTCAGCCTCTCTCACAGATCTGTGGGGGGTCCCCTGTCTCCCTTTTCCTCAGATGCAATCCTCTGCCAAGACGGGAGTTGGCGCCTGCTTGCGGCCATCCTGCCCATCGGTGGCGAGATCCTTTCAGGTGGTCTTTGCTGAATGGTGTGCTGGCAACAGGCCATTGCAGCAGAATGCCAGCTTCTGCTTACTACATATTCTGTCTCATCATGTTTTCACCATAACGATAATTATAACTCCATATGTTAGCCGTGTCTGGTCCTCTCACCCCTGACAGACATATACGTGATGCCCCTGATTATCCTCCACTCTTCATCCAGCCCCAGCAGGTCTCCAGGAGCTGTAAAAAAGTCTCTCAATGGCTGGAATTGCGGTCCCCATACGTCGCATATCAAAAATATGGCCATCTTCCAGGAAACAAATCCAAAAAACGTGGGTCGTCTGTCCCTTAGTTCGTTTCGTCGGAGATGACGTTTGGTCATTTTAGGTTGAAACCTCAGAAAATGCGGCAGTGCCATCTGCATCAAAAAAGACTGAAGGCTGTGTAAATTCCCAATAAAGGATTCTCTGAAAATGGCATAGCTGCTGGGGTAGCATAGCATCCTCCTGAATAGCATTTTCTTCCACGAATGGGAACGAGTGGTCTTTGACGATACTATTCCTGAGAGTGGAGGGGAGTTCTCCGAAACAAAGGCTGCAATTTGGTTAGGAACATGCCATCCTCGTTTGCAGTGTAGGGGGTTTGGGAAGGGAAATGAAAACTTTTTGAACGTGTGCCATGTCTGTACCATTCTCTTATCTGAGGCCCGCGACTGCCAGCTGGCGGCTGAATGTGCCTACTTGCACTGTGATGATGGTGCCAGCCAGGATAGTTGGCACACGGTGTGGTAGGACTGGCATGTGATCTAAAGCCAATCTGTGTGGGGTAGCTGTACTGTCTGGTCCCCCGTCCCCGTCTCTGGTGAGCACACTCTCCGCTGGACCTACAATCTACAATCTGAGCATCATGGAGCACTGTGTTTTAATCACAGGTGATAATTTCCTCACTCATCTTTGCTTCTTATATGAAAAGGTGGGATGTTTCTCCTAAACCAACAGGAGGGAATTACATTACATTTTTTATATTTATTTTAAGTCTCATACACTATCTGTAAACCTCTGCTCTCAGGTCTCATATTAAAACAGTTCATACAATCTGGTCACAGAGTATTTCAATATTATTTTTGACACATGTTCTTACTGGCACTTGTTATCATAATCTAAATGAGACAACATGTTTAAATAAAGTTTTTTTTAAAGGAAGTGAATTAAGATAGATAGATAGATATATAGATAGATATTTGAAGACATATAGATAGATAGATAGATATTTATAGACATATAGGTAGATAGATAGATAGATATAGACATATAGATAGATGGATAGATACTTTATTGATCCCGAAGGAAATTTAGGATTTGATTAATAAATTAAATTAGATCATTTAGTGAACTATCTTAAATAATTCAATACAATGTCATTTAAATATCATTCATTTTAAATTGTCACGATATTTATAGAATAACTCTGTATAATGTGATATTGTGTGTACTTACGAGGCGGGAACCATCGCCAGCAACACTCGTTTCATGTCGGATGGTTAATGCCGGGGCACCGTCCTTCACGAGAAGGTACCGGCTTCTCGTTGAGGTGAGTGTGAACAGAATGAAATGTGTCCGCAGCAGAACGCTGACATTGTTTTACAGAGGTTTTTAATTGATTCTCGGGTTTTAAAAAAGCGTTCAAATCGTCCGCGTTGTCCGTCTGAGCTCTGTCGTTCTTTTTCAGTCGCTGTCAGTCACATGAATAAGTCACATTCTATGTTTAGCTGAACTTTCTGTTATTCTCGTTGTTAAACTTCATGTGAGCGGTCACCAACGTGACACAGACACTTCACCGCATTTTCAATGTTAAATATCTCATGAAGCTACTGAGAAAAGAGTTTAACCTTGATAATGATAATGTATAGTTAGATAGGTAGATACTTTATTGATCCCGAGGGAAATGTGGGCATCCAGTATCACTCAAAACAATCAAACACAAGCCCATACGAATATTAAAGGTAAAAATGAGTCAAGCATAAGTTCACTGCAGTGAGATGAAAGTCCAGCCACCAATACTTCTACAAAGCTGTCACTGTAAAGAAGTATGAGCTAATGGAGATATTGACAATACAAATATTTTAAGTATAAGGTGATTGAAGGACACAAGCAAGTATTGAAGCCAAATAGAAGTACAGATGTAAAGATAAATAACTGAAGCTGTACAAAGTTCATTGAATAGACAGTGCAGGCAGTCACTCATCTACAGACACTCCTCTGTTTCTGAAATATAACCTAATATCATTTTTGTTGTGTGGTTTTGTGTAATAAAAAGTCTGGAAACTCAACACTGTTGAGACACTACACATCAGCTGAGTTATTGTCCCAGAGAGCACTGCTCTGTCTGTGTAAACACTTGCCTCATGTCGTCTGTGGCTCTGGAGGACTGCAAGCCCGACAAAGTCTGAGCCAGAAAACCATGATGTTGAAAATTATTGTAGGACCCAGTGTCCACGTGCTAAAAAACAGGTAAACTGGACTTGGTTACGTTTCTTGAAGACGTTTCACCTCTCATCCAAGAGGCTTCCTCAGTTCTAACTGAATGCTGGGAGTCGTAGGTACGACCCAGTATTGTGGGTTTTCAATAAACTTAAGACTAAAATATTAATTGTAATATATAGTTATTCCTTTATCTTTTGTAGTTGACGTAGGTCTTAAATTTTCTTAATAATGGTTAAGACAAAATCGTTAATACCTAATTTCTGTCAATAATCTCATCACAGCGTTTTTCAAACTCCCCCTTGATCTGTTCACCATGTGTAACAGTGAAGGTGAAAGTGATTGTGAATGTTACACAGGGAGGATAGTTAGAGTCAAACATGATTTTCCTTCGGGGGAAGAGGCTGATCTTTGTGTGCTGCTTGATAAAATGAAGCTCTAATGCTGTTTTGTCCTTTCTACAGATCTCATCTGTTATGAGCAGACTGAGTGGGAAGCCGTCTTGAGGTTCAGTCTCTGGAGGGTATGAACAGCTGAGTCTCAAACATGCTGTCAGGACTTGTTGCTGTTGCCCGTCGCTCTCTGAAGTGGACTGTGCCTCACCGGAAAGCCACTCTTCACAGAACTTGCTTTCCATCAAAGGCCAGGCGATGGCTACTGGTTCAAAGGGGCGCTCACAGATGGACTGCAGCCCCGTCATCAAGGATGAACCAGAAGCCAGTGTTTGTCAGAGCTCCAGCATTTGGAGATAAGCTCGCTATCATAGACAGCAGTGGCAGCCACAGCTACAAGCAGTTATACTGCAGCAGCTTAGATCTTGCAAGTAGAATCTGCACTGCTCTCAACTCTGACTTTTCAGGTCTGGAAGGAAAACGAATCTCCTTCCTGTGTGCCAATGACGCTTCATACACAGTGGCACAGTGGGCTGCATGGATGAGTGGCGGGACAGCAGTACCACTTTACCGGAAACACCCTCAGTCGGAATTGGAGTATGTGATCTCTGACTCCCAGAGTTCACTGCTAGTGGCAGGGCATCCCTTTGCCGAGATCCTCGAGCCGCTGGCTGTGAAGCTCGGGCTGCCTTGCCTGACACTGCCTCCTACATCTGACCTGGGCACTTTAGGTGTGGAAGACACAGAGGAGAAGGAGACGTCCATCACTGACTGGGCCGATCGACCAGCTATGATAATCTATACCAGTGGAACCACGGGGAGACCCAAGGGGGTACTACATACGCACAGCTCCATCCAAGCCATGGTAAACGTTGTCTTTTCAACCATAACTACAGTCCGACAAACAAAATACATAGACTTCCGGTTTATCTACAGTAAAAAAAAATACACTTTACAACTTTGACCCAGCAGAGCATGGGACAGCTGGTGCTCACTGACTAAAACTAATTAAAATAATGAGCTGTGTGCTTTGCCTAATATTGTTTTATTCACAATAGTCTTTAAATAGACCTGTTTCAAATAATTGTATTAGTTTATAACACCCCTTCAATAATCAGTATTTTATATTTACAATGTTTATTGTAATACTGAATTAATTCATTCATTTATTAAACTTCAAACCATTTTTAGTTTTAATATTACAAATAAATTAAATCAGAAAATTTTGCTTTGGTGCTAAAAAATAGGAATAAAACTTTTTCTTGTCTTGATGAAATTAGACTTTCACATCCTTCATTTCTGAAATAACTGCTAGTTTAATTTCTTTGTAAAATAGTCAAAAGCTACTTGAGATTCAGAACTTGGGTGACACAGACTAGTTGTGTTAATGTTGTAAATCATAAACACTTGAACAATGAAATTGATTCAAGAAAAGTGTGTTATAACTGTTTTTGTCGCTGTTTGTGTTTTTTTGTTTGTTGGTGATTTTTTTCTTTTATTTCTTCTAACTTCTAAAAACATGGCAGTGTGACATCATGAGCAACTTAAATTGTAGGTTAAAACATGAAAATCAAACGGTACTTAATTTTATTGATTCGTTTAAATATCACATGGGGGAAATAAATTACATATATAGATGTCTTCTCTGACAGGAGTTATGTATTGACCGTGGTGTTGTCAGATTATTTCACCAATCGATTTAATGTTATCGTTATCCAACTCTCCTTCTATTTAACTGCTATTAAATGTCTGTATTCACTGAATTCTGGGCATGTCAGAGGTTATTCTTGCAAAAGTGTGACATTGGAAGGACATGAGATACAGAAAGTGAAGCACGTAAATTTCATCAGAAGACTCAAAGATCAAATTTATTGTATTCGTATATAAAAATGTACCATTACATCCAACAAGTTACATATGACCAGAGGGTCCTAGCTAGTACATTGGTGAAGAATTTAACAGGAATCTTTTCTGTAATCTTGAAGTGTCCCAACTGACAGCAAGAGGGAGATCATCATGTCTTCCACAGTGGGAGCAGGTTGAGATGATTTATTTTGATGATTATAAAATAGTCTGACCCTCCACCTCTCCTTTCTTTCCTCCCCTCAGGTACAGTGTCTGGTTTCAGAGTGGGCGTGGACTAGAGATGACATCATCCTCCACACCTTGCCGCTCCACCATGTGCACGGCATCGTTAACAAGCTGCTGTGCTCGCTCTGGGTGGGCGCCACCTGCATCATGCTGCCTGAATTCCAGCCTCAGAAGGTCCAGACTGCACTTTATCTTTTTCCTCTTCTTCCAACTCTTTCTCTTGGCACAGTGTCATTTTCTTTAACAACCCCCCCCCCCCACAAAAGAACAAAAGAGGCAGATTTACAGTTGTGATGCTTGGAGGGAGACTGAAAGAGCCAAAAAGAAGATCTCCGGCATGGTCAAAGTGTTGCAGGGTTGAAAAAGACCTTGAGCTGTTTCCACATCAACCCCTTTTTCTCTGTTTCCCCTTTTACTTTACTTCTTCCCTCTTTTTTCCTCGCACACACACACACACACACACACACACACACACACACACACACACACACACACACACACCACCCCTCCGCCTGTCAAACTAAGTGTTTGGGGCTCAGTGATGAATTGCCCTGTGTGGCTTTGTATCTGACCAATGCCGACTCACAGCAGGGGCTTAAGCAGCAGATCAATCGATGAGCTGACATTGAAGGATGATACTGCTTGTTTGGCCCGGAGAAGGGAGGGGAAGATGGGGTCTTAGGCGTGTGTGTATAGAAGTTTAGATGCACGTGTTTTCCCTATAGCATGTGTGTTATTGTTTGTTCGTCAAGACCTCGGCAGCTTGATGGCAATGACGGTAGATGGAAAATAAAGGTCTTTATAGGACATGTATGCATCAGTCAACATGGGTATTGCTACGCTATTATAGCTATCAGTATTCAACTGTTCTCCCTGACCTTGTGTACCAAACCACAAAACCCCTTCTTTCAACCTCAGAAAAAAGCCTTTATTCTCCTCCTCCTGAAGTTACAGTACATTGATGAAGTGATCGATAGTCTGTCTCTTTTCTCCCAGAAGATTTCTGAAGGGTAGCCCGAGCAGCAGAGGCCACCATTGATTTTTACTGATTTCGCCTGGAGATAGTGGCAGAAATTTTCAGCCCAAGAATTGTGATCCAGTAAATCGCTGTTAAGTCTATTTCAACTGTGCTGTTTACAGACTGACGTGAGTAGATAGTCATCCAGGGGTTTACAACACCAATCTTATTTTGGTTACTTTCCACGGACTACTTTATAACAACAGGTAATACTGTATATCAAATATTATGTAACTATTGTTTCAACTTAGCAGAAAAATTAAATATTAGAGGCATTCTTCAGATATTTATTAAAAAGAACAGATAATGCATGAATTCTTGTGTTCTTCCAGGTATAGGCATTTTATTAAGTTGACTGATGGAGGCGTTATTTACACACACACACACACACACATCTGCCTCCTCTATAATTCAAAGTCAACACTGTTATCTCTAAAGTGATATTAATGGTTTAGGTTGAATAAGACTTGGGGGCATAAAGCATTTGACAGTGTTCTGGCTCTAGGGATGGCCATTTAAGTCCATATAGCAGCCTGTCGGTCATCCACCACTTTCTTCAGACAGAAGTATCTCAACAACTATTGGATGAATTCCATGGACATTTGTACACACAATCATGGTCCTGAGAGCATGAAGCATACTGGCTTTTACGATCTCCTCCCTCTCTCCAATGCCACCAGCATCTCAGACTTTTCATTTATCCTCTGAAATATCTCAACATCTACGAAATATATTGGCACAGATGTTGGTTTAGATATTCATGTTTTTCAGAAGATTGGGTTTTGTGACCACACTTAATTTTTTCAATCCTTTTTACACTTTTACCTAAAGTCCATCAAAACCAGTGATATTCCCATCAGTCACAACTATAATTTTAGTGCTAATTGCCAAATGTTGCAATGTTTTCACACTGAACTAAGATGGTCAATATGGTAAATAGCATACCTACTAATCATCAGTATGTTAGTATTGTCATCACTTTCTTAGCATGCAGACCATAGATTGTATTGATGATACTTTCCCCACTATTCAGAAATGAATCTAAAACACTAATTAAATCAAACCAAACTTGTGGAATAAGAATTATCTTAAATTACAGAAACCATCTTTGAGTAAAAAGGTTTTAACATGTAGTTTTAGTTTGGCCCATATCCCATCCACCTACATGCAGCAGGCGGGGTTTATGACCTACACTTCAGTCAGCCACCAACGAGTGATTGAGACACTTCTGCTGCCGTTATGTCATTCATCTTTATATTCAGTCTACAATGCAGATATTTACATGTAGCTCAGAGCTCTGCTGTTCTGTAAGCACAATGTGTCACTGCCTGTAGTGTAGCTGCAGGCTCTTTCAACAGACTTTCAGAACCAACACCAGAACTGTACTTTTTGTACCTTGTTCGAACACAGTGTTTTACTCACGTAAGCCAAATGCATCAGTGTCGTTTTGATAAAAGCCACGGAAAAATAAAACCACTCTGAAAGTATTAATCACAAAGAGCTGATAAAGAAATAAGTAAACAATAAAATCTGGTAAACCATCAATGCTAACTTTTGATAGTTTTTCAACATCTAATCGTTCTTTAGAAGAATTGATGTATCTGAGTCCCTAGTTGAGTGCTGCACTGAGCAGCTCATAGAGTTATTTAAGATGCAGGCCATGGCTCTGGGTTCTAACCACATCCTGTCCCCCAGGTGGAGGCCAACTCTTTGACAGACATAAATTGCCTTCCTCTCCCCTCTAGACTGGACTTGGTGGAAGCGCTCCACTGCACTTGATAGACACCACCCAGAATGGTCAGGGCACACAGTTAATAACCCTGCTCTCTCTGCTCGAAGTTTGATTCTGTATGAGCACAGGTGAACTGTCAACGCTGGCAAATCAACTTCTAATGATATTGTGAGAAAAGGCGTAAGCATAGACTGTAAACAATCATTTCAGTTTTATTTATCCAGATGTCTGTTGTTTATTCATTAGACGCAGAAGAGGTGAGAAGACGAGTTAATAGGTGAAAAATTAGAGGTAGACTACGATGTGGTGACTCGATGGATGAGTTTAGGGAGGGAAGCGGTGGTACTGTAGGTGAGAAGGATGATGGGAGAGGCTGCATCTTTCTCTGAGTATGTGTGTAGGAAGGTGTGTGTGTGTGTGAGAGAGAGTGAGAGAGAGCGACTGCAGAGGCAGTGAAGCAGGAAATTACGAAATGGAGAAAGAAGGTAAGTGAATGTGAGATAGAGAGTGAAGGTAAAGGGGGGACAAAGATGAAGGGAAGATGCAGGGTCAGAGATGAAAGTAGAGAATGAAGAAGACACACTGGGTAAGTGGAGGTAGTATGAAAGAAGAAGAAGTGAGCAGAAGTAGACTAAGAGGGGAGGGGAGACAGCTGGGGAGGAGCGTTTGTCTCCCAGGGGGGAGACCAGAGTAGAGAAGCTGTCGTTCACCTTCACTTAATTCATGCTGTTGTCCCATCCTCCCGTTGTCGACTATGGTGCACCCAGACGACTGCGAGCGTGTGTGTGTGCCTGTGTGTGGGATGAAGCGGGGTGGGTGGGGCTGGGTGTGTGAAACAGCTTTGTCCTTGAACAAGTGAGTTTATGTGACATTTGAACAGTATTTTTTATATATATATATATATATATATATATGTGTGTGTGTGTGTGTGTGTGTGTGTGTGTGTGTGTGTGTTAAAAAACCTCTGTAATATTCAAAAAGCACGTTTGTCAACAGTAGCTGGACAGAAGGCCTTTTAACTGGCCCACAGCGATCTGCTGTTTTCCTCCCCCTGACCTTTACAAACTGACTTATTTTCTAGTCTTTTTTGGCATTGTGCTGACAGGTTTAATATAAGGTTGCTGTCTGGACTTTACTCTGCCATTTACATCAAATAAAGGAAAATAAAAAATCATGCTTCTCTATCACATGTCCTAATGGAATGCATCTGGATGTTATAATTTAGTTTGCTTGGCTCCATCCATTATATAAACTGCTTTCCTTTTTTATCTTTCCTTATCTCTGTCCTGCCTCTTCACATAAATGTTGTGCTTATCTCTCCCCTTTCCCTCTCTCTCTCTCTCTCTCTTTGCTGTGTTGCAGGTGTGGGAGATGCTGTTGAGCTCTAAGGCTCCCATGGTTAATGTGTTCATGGCCGTGCCAACTATCTACTCTAAGCTGATCCAGTACTATGATCAGCACTTCAGGCAGCCTCATGTCAAGGACTTTGTCAAAGCAGTGTGCAAAGAAAGGATCAGGTACCGGTTGTGGGATCGATGGCAGTCAGCTTACTCACGGGTAGAGGTGTTTGTTGATACGTGTATGCAGGGTGCGATTCTATTTGAGGTGGTTACTGACCCCAGGGTGTCGGTGATTGTGTTGAACAAATGACGACCTTCACTGACTTGCCTCCATGACAACCTGTTTGTTGTCGCAATATTCATTTTGGTCACAGTGGGCTCATATAGACTGTTGGGATATTTCTTGCAGGCGTTAAATTGACATTAAAGAAAAATATTTAACTTTGATATGACAATTTTGGAATAAGAATAAATTGTACTCATCAAGTAACTAGTGTGACATTTTCACTCCTTTCCTCATGCGGACACATGAGGGATGTGATCATACACAACAAAACAACAGTTGAAATGCTTGAACACAATTTAGAACTAAATCCACATTTAAGTACCATGGACAGTGACACTTGGCCAGGGATGCCAAACACATTAATAAACTTCATTATTTCAGAGAAAATAATCAAAAACCCCAAGAGCACAATAAGTCATGACTATAAAAAAAGAGACTATTGTTGTACCCTTACATTTTATATAGAGATTGATGACATGACTGCACCGTAAAAGTGAAGCCAAAGCATCTCGATCGGTGGCTGGCTGCAGTACAGGTCATAAATCCCACTAAAAAGTAAAAGTACAAGCTAAATAAATAATGGCTGCTGCAGTTTTGGGGAGTTTCTGTCACACTACCATTTGTTCAATGTCGAGTTTTTTGTAGTAGTTTCCGTAAGATGTTTTTTTCTTATTTGATGAGATAATCTAAAACATGTTTTTACATTGTTTTAAATTCTCACTGATGTTTGATAAACTTTTCAGGCCATCACTACCCTGATCCCCTTTTACATTCCAGTCCCAACAGACAGAATGTTTCACATTGTGTTTTTATGGCATATTAAAGTCTAGAAATTTTTGTTTTGGCGCCTGGAGTGTTTTCCTCATGTCAGGCCTTCTCCCTCCAGGTTAATGGTTTCTGGCTCGGCTGCTCTCCCTCTTCCCACTCTGCAGCGCTGGGAGGACATTACAGGACACACACTGCTGGAACGTTATGGCATGACTGAGATTGGCATGGCACTGTCCAACTCTCTCAATGGCCCACGCATCCCAGGTACACAAGTTTGACTGACTGCATACACCCACACACAATACACAATCTGAAAAAAATGCTCACAGAGGCAAACAAGTGAAAATAAGATAAAAGGTCATTGTCACACCAGCTCTGGTTCAAACTGGTTTATTTGAAATCCTTAACTTCAATAAGTAACAATAATGTACTAGTCTGTACTAGGACTGACGGCACAAACACAGCCTGAAATGCTGGACTTGGTCTTCTCAGCAAACTTTGGTGAGGTCACAAGCCAACTGTTGGTTCAGAGGTAGGAAATTAAGCCAGAAATCAAGTTTTTAAAGTTATGTTTAACATCTGATAATAAACAGCTACTCAAGTTTTACAACACTGCATCATTTCCTCATGTGTTCTAGACTGGTGTGAACCAATTCACGCAGAAGAATTCAAGTAAAAATGACTTCTTTTGTTTTTACTTATTTGCAAAGAAGTTAATTATGGAGTTAATTATTTCTGCTATGCAACTTTAAAACATGTCCAAAGTCGATTAAGCTAAATTTGTGTCCGATTTTAATTTGTAGCATCTTCTGGGATCTCATGGGTATTTTTCTAGGTACAAAAGAAGTTAAAAAGTGCAACCTTGCATAACAGCATTATTAGTCATGTGTACAGAAAAATAACATCATGTTTGTTTGAGCCAAACCTCTGGGATTATTCTGCACTTTTGGCTAAAGAAACTAAACCGTTTGTCTCACCACAGAGTGAGGTACTTTTCCTTTTCTTTATCACAAATCTCATATATTTCTGATTCCATCTCCCTCACTAGTTTGATTCAGTGCTCCATGGGTCGTGTTTTGATCATAGGCAGTTCTCTCTGGTTTGATGTCAGGTTAAAACCCCACGATCCCAACTACACCTCCCTCACACATGCAGCAACAAAGACAGGGACTGGAAATGAGGTCAGACAACTGGCAGTTGCTTTCTTCTCTCGTCTTTTCCTGCCCCCCCCTCCTTTTCTCTCCCTATCTTCTCCTTCCCTTCCTGTTCCCCAGCCAACTCTTCCTCTTACAGGTAAAACTAATTAGCTTGCAAGTGGATTGGGTAATCCTCTGTCTGCTGTTTTGCTGGGGCATTGTTTTGTTTGTTTGTCAGGTAATGTTTGGCATAAACTGAACAGGTTGTGTTTGATTCCTCTCGGGTGATTATTAAGAATGGCTTCAAGAGGTCTATTGATGTTTCCATTGCAGCATTGAGACTTGTGGAAGATGTGTGTGCATGTTTGTTCGCCTATTTGTGTAAGTATATGTAAGTGTATGCAGTCATGAGCTGTTTGAGTCAGTGTGTTCCTGTCTTGTCTTTAAGTAGGTTAAAATGGATCAATAGCAACTGTAGGAAACACTCAGAAGAGGAGTGGAGTCACCTTCTCTCTGCTTCTCTTACACACACTTTCTCTTCTCTCTGTCCTTTGCCAACTAAGTAGCACACAACTCAGCTTTTAATGCACCTTATTGACAGCGATTTTATTAATAAGTTCCTTCTGTAAATACAGCGTCTAACTGGCCTGATTTTGTTGTGTATTTTACAGTTTTGGAGCATTCCAGATTAACAGCAGCATGGCTTTCTAGGTCACGTTGCCCTTGTTGAGATGTAAATATCTGAGATGAGTTCACCCTAGTTCTTTCCATCTTATTATTATCATCTCACTCTGCTGCCCTTTTAATCTTGTTGAATCTTTTTTAATCTTCTTTTTCAGTCTCTTTTTTTCATAGGTAGAAAAGAGAGAAACCTTTTCCTCCAGATGTTGTCCTTCCAAACCTTTGTCATTTACCCTGAAAATTATTTCAATATCTGTAGAGCAATGCTATTTGAAACTTTTTCATTCTAGCTCCACTCCACACAGACCTCTTCCTGTCCAGCATGCAGCATTTACAATATATTCCCGCAATCTTCAAAATTGAACTCTTGTGAAATCATTGAGACCAGAATGTCTCAAACATTTTTCAAGCTCCTGGTTCAAGAGAAAAAAAATGATGCTATAAGTGCGCAGAGATTCCTTGAGTTAAGCCATTGATTGATAATAGAGACTGTTCTTGTCATTTTGTAGTTTGCAATTTTTCCTTGTACTTGGTGAAGAACTCAAGATGATTATTTGCTCCGCCCTTCATCACAATCAGAGACAATTTGAATCCTTGGCTATTGTTTCATTGCGATTGCTTTAGACATTATTATACTTAACATGTTGACAATATATCAGGATGTGTAAAAGTAAAAGGCAGCTGTGGGTCCAGTGTTAAGGTAATCAAGTTGTCCAAAAAAAAAACAAATGCCATCTACTTGGTGCCGCTAATTTAAGGTTGTGTTGTCATGGAAGTAGGTCAAGCAAAGTAGTTCAGATGCCACTCTTCCCAGCAACCTTTTCCAGCTTCTTCTGGAGGAGGCTGCCAGGGATCAGCATGCTCAGGCCCCTGACCTGGCTTGTTGCCCGGCTTACATTGCAGCCCAACCTGATGCCGGTTCCTGCTGTGGTGAACCCACAGGGTTTTGACTTCCTGTAATTCCATGGCTTCAGGGATCAAGGGCCCAGTCACCAGGAGTTCACTGGTGAACTCTCCTACCAGGTCTGGCTCCAGGATTGTGCCCTGGTTTTCCTAAGCCGGGCAGGGTGACGTAGTTTTGAAGAATAACTTTAATCTGATTGTTGTGAATCGAACTTAGTCTGATCTCTCTACGTGAACCAATTTGCCTTGGGAAGCTCCTGGAAGACATTTAATGTTGCATTCAGTTGTATGCATGGAAAGTGATATAAATATTTTTGTGGAAAAAGAAATAAGAAAGAGAGACAATTTCAACAACCAATTTCTCACCTCTTCATCGATCATGGTTTGAAAGCTACATACATTGTTTTAAGTTTATTTTTTCTTAACTGTGACCCTGCACCCTGTGTGTGGTCCTAGTCGAGTGTGGGGAATGTCCACCAGCTGTACCTGGTCCTGATAACACTCTCTGTACTAATCAAAATAAGATACCACAACCACCTTGTGCTGCAGGTTTCCATTATTTTGTTCACACTGTCCACAGCAGTCCAGGATAACATTATAACCAGTGGTGGAGATGTATTTAGATCCTTTACTCCAGTAAGAGTACCAATACAGCAATAATACANACTGCAGTACTTTATATACTGTACAGTACTCGACTGCAGGAACAATCATCTCTGTTCTTTAGTTATTCTCACTTTTCCTCAGTCTGACTTTTCTTCACCTGATTCCTGACGAGAAAAAGATCTTTTCCAAGTTGCAGCTGATTTTTTCTGAAGTTGGTTATTAATAATCTTACATCGTTGCGGAATCGTTTGGGCGAACGTGCTCCGTGGTCTGCGTCCCGTTACACTGAAGAGTTCTGCAGAGATTCATTCTGCATCAGTATCGGTTTTATCTTTTCTGACCTGCACCAGAAACTCTCACGTCGGCTGTCGATCCAGAGAAACACGAACCAGATGATGTCTGCTCCTCCGCCTTAGAAACGATTCTTTAAAACGAATCCGTCACACTTTGAAAAAACACTCTTGTCTGATCGATAGTTTTACTAAAGAAAAAAACTTACTTCAGAGGCTTCTGTCTGGTCTTTCACAATAAAAGCACGAGATAGAAGAGGAGGAGTTGTGTCTTCTCTGTCGTCCACCAGCTGCTGAGACGTCCTCACCACCGATTCACACAGACAGACGTTCCTCTGCTCCACTGACTTAGCACAGGATCAAAAGCTCAGGACGTTCTGAACGAGAAGTCATGAATGAAAATATATTTAATGAAGTAGAAACTACAATATGAAATAATTACCTGTGTTAATTTCCACCACTGATTATGCCCTGCACAGATACAGCTTGTCTAACCTTTTGGCTCCAACTTGTTTGTTAACCCATTCAGTCCTTTGTGGTCAGTTTCCCTGCTGGACTGAGTGCATGTGAAGGGGGGGCAAGTGATAGACATTGCCAATCAAATCTGGACTGGACTGGATCAATATGAAGCGAGAGGATCAGTCTTTAATTAGGACCTGACCTGCTCCTCACTGCGAGATCAGTGGACTGTGAAACGGCATAATAACCTTAAAGGTGCAGGAAGCGATTCTCATACACTTTTTGTCAATCTCAGTAAATATCTCCTCAGTGTCCACCCCCTCTCCGTTCTGTGGGTGTTACTACACAGCCCTTACTCTGTTAATGGGAAATAAACAAAATGTCTTGGACCGTGCCACACAACAATGTTCCTGCTAATCAGCAACAGGGAATGTTCATGCACAGGACAAATAAAAGAGGTGGGGACATTGTGAAAAAATGGATGTGGGAGTGAAAGATGGTTAATCTGGCGCATGATAGTGGATAGTAGCAATCTAGGGATTACAATGGGAAGGGGAAAGAGCAGTAAATCCTTCTATCGCTGCCAGACAAGGTACATTTTTGAGTGGGATTGATTGGTACTGCAGGTTGCCTTCGTTATTAGCTTGGCTACAAACCCGATCCTTTGATGTTTTTCAGATTCATCAAAAATCTGTGTAAAAAGTAGAAACACAGAAAGATGAACTTGTGTTATTGGGTTTACTTGATACCATGAATGCTGCCGTTCATATATTTTGAGAATTCAATTCACTTGATAGATGGCAGTGTCTTGGAGTGTATCTGGGATCTGTTTTTAAGAGTCTAAGACAGATGTCCAAAACCAGTTCTCTTATTTGGAGTTTACGAGGATGCTGGTGAAGCTGCAATGGGCATTTTCTCAGAAATCCCCGTTACTGTCAACGTGAGCTGACTTGTGGCGACTGAGATGAGTGGTTTTTGGTTTACACAGTTTTACAAGCTCAGAAAACCATTTAGTGACTGGTAATGCCCTGCAAATGGAGGTTACTCATCGTCACTTTGTTAGATACAGCCCAAATATGTTCAGCTTTTTTAAAAAGGGACAAAATCACCCCATCTAGTTTGTAATAGACCATCTTCCCTTTGTACTAATGGGATACTTATGTCTGTGTGTCTGCTTGATTTGTTGACAGGGGCTGTGGGGTCACCGCTTCCAGGTGTAGAAGTTCGGATAGTTATGAATAATGCAAGCAACACCACGATTGCAGAGGGCAGTCACAGAGAGACTCGGGTAATCTTTAAATAAATAGGTTACAAACTGAATTATCTATAGGAAGTGAAATATTTCAAAAGGTTGTATAATTAATCAAAATTCAAACCTTGAAATGTACTTAAAAAGTCATGATACAAAAGTATGTAAATGCAATATTTTGCTTTCAGATAAGATTCAGTGGTATTAGTTTTCTTGCTGTTGTTGGACAGTTCATCACCAAGCAAGCAACTAGATGGTCATTTAACAGTATTCTGGCTAATCTAAATCAATTCTAAACAGTCTAAACCATCTGTTTCCAATGCTTCCTTTCTCTCTGTGCATATGCCACAGGTACGTGCAGGTCTGGAGGGGAAAGAGGGTGAGCTCCTGGTTCGAGGTCCATCTGTCTTTCAGGAATACTGGAACAAGCCTGAGGAGACCAGAGAGTCTTTCACTGATGGCGACTGGTTCAAAACAGGTACTGAGCCCTCATCTCCTCCTCCACCCTTTGCTCTGGTCTTAACTCACACTTCAGCACTGTATGCAAGCACACACACATTTTGAACAAACATTCACACACACAATCCCTTGGAGGAAGTGAGTTCTGCCACTAATTGCATCTACATGAGTGGTGCTGTCAGAGGGATTCACAGGAGGAGGAGAGATGTCAAATGATTTTTTTCAGCTTCACTACAGACATCTCTTCCAGGGCTCGATTTTAAGCACTGGGTAAGGAGTCCAGTCAACAAAGCATACACACATGCACGCACACATGCACGCACACACACAGTTTGAGTGTATGTGTTGTGTGTGTATGTGTGTGTTTCGGGGGACTATAAATGGACTATGTGTGTTTTTGGTGCTGCAGGGCATTTTTCCTCCTAAGTGGTTATGACTGCTCTGGGTCTTGAGGAACCAAGTACTGCTCCCTCGCTCTTCCTCTCCTCTGTTCCCTGTTTTTAGGGTGTGTGTTTGATGGCACAGAGAAAAGCTGTCATCGGAGGTTTCTCCCCCCTGGGGCCTAGCACTTCTTTCTCTGCCCCCCCCCCCCCCCCCCCCAAAAAAAAAGGAGCGCTGCTTTAATGCAAAGCCACCGACAGACAGGTGTTAGGTTGTCATGGAGGAGGCTGGGTGGTGCACGAGGACGGGCACAAGCAATCGGGAGCTTTGAATTGTAATGTACACGACAGGAATAAGAGAGTGAGGAAAGAGCTGGAGGTATTGAGCTTGGAGATGTGGTGGTGGAGGGGTTAGAAAGAGTCAACTGCAGAGGGTGGCATGTATGGTCCAAGAGAGACTGGTGACAGACTAGGTAGGGATGGGGAGCGAACGGTGATGTTGGAGGAGGAAGGAGAGGGAGAGGGAGTGGGGGGTAAAAAGCAGCAAGGAAGGAGCGAGTGATGGAGAGCAAAGCAGGGTGAGGCAGTGGGAGAGCAGGGCAGACTGTGTTTAATTGGCTTTGCAGGCTGGAAGGACAGAGATCCAGAGCACAGCACGCTGCTGTCACACTCCATTACAGCCACTGGCCACATAATGAGAGCCAGTGCAATCAGCTCCCCACAGACTGGTACCTCAAGCAACATGCACACACATACACGCACACACACACACTGTAGACTTTTCTGTAGGAAGCTTCCAAGCGCGTCCCTAGCCCTTCCTGCCTCTGATGAAGTTAAACAAACACACACACTGAGTTGTCACTATATTGCACACTTAGTTACAACTCAACTCTTTAAGACATTTTTTTTTTAAATTAACATTAAGCCTTTATGTAGGTGTAGTTGCAATACTGTTGTATTAGACTGCACTATTTTAAATCTTAGTGTTCCTAATAAACTTCCACCTAAGTGTATTAATCTGCGAATTTAAAGATTTTTGTGAAATAACAGCCCTGTCTAGACAGTGTTTGGTTGAAGCCCTTTCAAAGCTCATCGTGATTAAATCATCTGTTTGAATGACGAGGAGCTGAGCTGGAAACATCTGGTTCTGGAGTTCATTCTTTCTCTGTGGGCACAGGGTCACAGCACCCACAGGAGCACAGCACCACCAGTTTCAACCGCTTCGCAAACCATGTAGCGACTAGTTGTGTCTTGTCGCCTCGCTCTCACTCTTCTTGTGTGCTCTTCGATTTGTAGGAGCTCTTTGTTTCTATTCTCTGGCTCAAACAAGGAAACAGACAGCCATCGAAGTGAAATGCTCAATCAGAAATCAGGTTCAACCATAACAGCTCTTAGTAAAATCCAAATGGCTTTCTCACTCTCGCTTCCACCTCTGCCTTCCTAAAACAACCCAAATCTCAACAGACTTTAGAGTGAGACTTCTTTTTAAGTGAGACATGTGTAATGTTGCCTTTCAGAAAAGTTTAAACCTTTTATTTGTGGAAAAAAAAAGCCCTTTTAATGGACTTTGCGCTGACTGCCGCAGTTGCCCCAGGATGACATTGTAGCCACTTCTGCCATGTTGCAGCAGTCAGGGGAGGAGATTTAAAGTGAAGGCTATAACAAAAACACACATTAGTTTATCCTGTGTTTCTTTGCTGTGGAACAATTTACGGAGAAGAAAAAAAACTTCTGTTAACAGCAGCTGATCCCAATTCACAAGTCTAAACAGTTAATTCAGTTAATTTCCAGATCGACACATGCTTTTGTGGACTGGAAATTCCCAAACACACGCATGCATGCACGCACGCACACACACACACACGCACGTGTTGCTCCTGCACTTAACCTTCTCCTGAGCTTTCTACCTCCCTTCTCACATTTGTACAATTTTTACCCTCACACCTGCTCCTTGTTTCACACTCCACCTTCCTCTCTAACACTGTCTCATCCTCACACTCCACTGCTGACTTCCTTAGTCCTGGTTGATCTTTTGTCACCGTCCCTCTGAGCTTATCGTATGTCAGTTGTTATACATCCCCCAGGATTTAACCTCCGGGTCAGGGAGAAAACATAGAAGATATTCAGCCCTTTTCAAGAAACAGACTCAGATTTACTTTTGTGTACTGGGGCTGTCAAAGTGATGGGAGTTAACTTTCACACATCAACTCTCACACATCCACTAACTGATCCTCAGCTTCTTCTCTGCTCTGCTCTGAACCTCCTGTCCTAACCACCATCTACATCCAGACTGTGAACCTCTGCCCATCTCCTGTTGCAGTGTAGTGGGTAGGATTTGTATACAGCCTGAGAGACTCAACTCAGGGCAAGAAATTCCATATGCCATTCATCAAAGTAGCTCATGACTAACGTGCAGGACCAACATTCTCGCTGAGACATGGAGAATGAGTGAACGAGATAGCCCTGTAGGTCGAAAATAGGTTTGTGGTTCATTGAAGGTCAAAAATGTCCAGCATTTGACACTCAACTTAAAAGAGAGTGTAAGATTTAAGAGAAGTAATGTTTAGTTTTGCAGGTAAGTTTATTCTTAAACATATCTTATTATTAACTAAGATTATTTAGATACAGTTGGTTGGGAGTGTTGAGTTTGTTGAGATGACCTTAACCGCAGCCAGCCACCAGATGGGGAGCGAGATGTTTTCACTTTACTTTTGGGGAGCAATCATATCCATTTCTATAGTCTAAGGTTGAGACCAATCAATAGACTTCAAAACAAACAAAATGTTCTCTATCATTTTAATAATGCATGACATAACTTGTTGTTAACTCTAATTGTGTGGTTACATTTTCAGACTTTTCTGACCTTTAGTGAATCTTAAATCTTCAGTAAGATAATATTCAAGTTTTACATTCAAGTGTTGCACAAAACAATTAACAGAATTGACAAATTAAATGTTAGTAATGTGCATTTTATCCACTGTTGGTAAGCAACAATTAGGAGTTATTAGTGGCCCAAATCTGTTTGGCGCTATTAAACCACTGCACGACAAGGAGGCATATAAAGAGCCAGCCAGTCATACCTCAAGCAAATAATAACAATATAGAACACATGATGGAAATACCTTATGTGTGTCTTATTTATTCATTTGAGGGAGTTAACCCTCTGATATTCTTGTCTGCCACATTTTATTGTTTTCGTCAGTTAACCCTTTTCAGAAGAAGAAGAAGAAGGCAAAGGATAGATGGCCAGAGAAAAGTTGAGTGTCAGAATCAGAGGAGTGTGAGAATAAAGATCAATAAGTTCTCAGCTGGCCAGAGGTGTCCTCTCTAGTGCGAGTGACTTCTGCAGAGCATGACCGACAGCTTCATAGGAAAACTGTCACCTTCTGTTCACAAAAATCTTTGAGTACGTTGGTCCGCTCTCACCTTTTACAACCTTCTTTTTGTGCTCTGCAGTTTGCTCTATATAGCTGTTTTCTGATATGAACTCCTTAGAATGTCCAGAAAATTCGAACTCGGTCATTTGCCTTTCACATATGAAGAACACAGCTGGATATTGTCCATGTCAGACAAGTTCACGAAAACAGGAGGGGGGTGATGTCTTGGTATTTAAATATGAGAGTCAGATGTATAAATTCCGTAGAAATAACATGTTTTGATTTCAGTCCTTATTGTCAAAAACTCTCAATTCTTATCTTTCCAAGTTGACATCTTCCTCATCATCTTTGAGATATGTAGATTACTAATTAATATAATTTTGCTTTGCGTCCCTTGTACGTTATAAACTCGCCCCAGACATGTTCCTGCTGTATTCTCACATGGGCTCACGTGCTCACTTGGATATTTTATGGATGTTTTACTCCGGTGTGGCAGGATTCCAGAAAAATTCCTGAGCAACTGGCTCTAACATTTGCTTTCTCACATACAGCCCCTATGGAACATTTTAGGAAAATATCCAGACTTGCATCGGCTTTAGTTTGATGAAACAAGTCTCGGTTAAAAAGGATTTGGTTGAGAGGGGACGTATGCGTGTGTGCATATTTGTGTGTTCTTCTGTGAGTGTGTGACCGAGAGAGCTGTCACCCCAGCTGTAAAGGTGAGCTTCAGACCTGCAGGGTAACTTTTCCACAGACAGACTGACAGCAGTGTGGCTCATATCCTGCAGAGCCATCACTACTCATTTGTGCATGGGTCTTTTGCTCCCAGCCGTGCTCTCCTCTTCCCTGCCTCCATCGCTCTCTGTGTTTCCAGTGTCATATTTTACCCCGGGTCACATCTTGTCCTCCTAACTCCAATGTCAGAGCTCCCTGTGGGATCTACCGACACCCCACCCTCTGAGCACTCTGTTCAAACAAGCCGTCTCTGTGACATTTAAACAGCAAAGGTGGCACTGCATGCTGGTCCAGGTTTTATTAACACCAGTTGAAGGTAACTTTTTTGCAGGATTTGTGGTTATCGAGGTAACTTCAGGGTTAACTCTGTTTTTTTTTGAGTCCAGTTCTTACTGGGGTAAATCACCATGGTAACTTGCGATGCATCTCTAACCTGCTACAGATCAGGTTAAGTTATGATGACGCGTCAACTTCGTTCCTACAGGATTCTGACAGGGACAAAAGAGTAAGCTGATGAACAATAAAGA